TTATTAAAACACAATAAGCAAATATTATTAGAAACATAAGAATATCACGTATCTGGCAATAAGATTTGGTTGTGGCTCTAGTTAAAATTAAAACACAGAATGAACAGAATTTAAATGACTCCTGTATAGACTTGTCAGTTATCACTAATTTTGCTTCTTCGTCCATGAACGGGTCACGTGACTACAATTCAGTATTTTATTGGTTTAGATCACGCATTATGGATCGCAAAAATAGAAAGCCGTCTATTCTGCGATCTGCAATCCGGATCCGAAGCTGCCTCGTCTTGATTGGCTAACTTCTGATCCGCAATCTGCAATCCCGATCCAATCCAAGTCCGCAATACGTAGTGTGACACGGGCTTTACGCCACATCACGTTCCAGCCAATCAAATCGTCTCAGCAAAACTATATATATATATATATATATATATATACTTACCTGATTAAAAAATTTTGTAAAAGTTTATTTAAACTGGTTTTAACTTAAACTGAAAAGTGTAAGAACAAAATTGTTGATGCAAATATAGATATATAATATTGTTGGGGCGTAAATTACGTAAAAGGTTTTAAGTGAATTAATATTTGAAAATTACTTCTCAATTATTATACAAGTTATTTTTTCTAATAGATATATTTAATATTTATAAGTTTTTCGAGATATCTTTACAGTACAATGTAATTATATAATAAAAGAATTTCTACAATTATTTATTAAAAGGATAGTGGTCCAATCCGCTGTTATATTTGAATTCATATTTGTTCCTATGCTGTCTTTTTGAAGATTCTATTAACTTTTGAACAGTAGGCCTGTGTAACAGTCAAATATATTAATTACAATAACAATTTAAAAACTCGTGAAAATATATAACTAAGTATTAAAGCTAATATAATACCAATATAATACCGGATATATATGTGCAATTTTATATATACATATTTTTTCCTTTAAACGTGTACATTACTACACATGAAGATTCGAATTAAATTTACTAAATTATTATAAATTATAACTTAAGTTTAATACAAATTGTTCTCATATATTAATTTATGTTTAAGAAAAAAATTAATATATATACAATTACAAGAACATCCAGCACATTGGTTTCTATCAATTTTAATACTTTGTTGTATATTAATTATTTAGTTACAAATAAAAAACATTTGTGAAAAATTACCTGTATGGAGGTGGTAACATTTCTTCATGAAAAGTACATGGTTTCTTCTGTAATTCAGTTTGTTTATATATCTTCAATCTAACAATATCAACATCTCGATTGCATTCATCTAAAATCTTTTCTATCTCTTTTGAAGGTGCATCAAAATATATAAGAAAATGGCTACAAATAAGAGAAATAGAAAAAGTATATAATTTTCATAGAAATATGTAATAAATAATATTTGAACACTAAGGAAAAAAATAAATATATTATTTGTTATTTATATTTGACTTGTATCAATGTGTAATACATAATTATATTTTATCATATTACATATTATAATTATATGCTTACTCTGCTTCTTTATAAACATGACCGTGAACACTAGCTTTACATGGAAGTTGTTTTACGCCCCAATTTTCCATTTTTCTTATAAAACCACCAGTGTTAAATATTAATCCAGCTGTTCTTTTTAAAGTTGCTGCTAGTTCAGGCTACAAAATATAAAGTTCTTATTTTATATATGCCAAAAACATTGAAGATAGATGTATTTGCATATAGTATTAATCACAAGCACATAAATGCTAAATGATAATAATGACTTATTGTTATATTATAACAAATAGTATATACAATAATAATATTGTACAAGTATGAGTAAAAATTATAGCTTATAACCTAAATTTTATAATACCTTTTTCATAATACGTAATAATAATGGCATTTCATATGTTGGCATGTTTTCGTACTCTTTTGCACAGTATTTAAGTAATTCGTTGATACACTACTATACTGTCACTATTTTAACAATACTTCTTCTTTGTTTTTTTTTCTGTCACATCTCAGTATCTTTCTTATTTTAAAGGCTGTATACACAAATAAAACATTGGCCAAAACTAGCCATACTATTGGGTGCTTTCCAACTACGTACACAAGCGACACTGTTCATTAGTGTAAGTGAGACACACTAATATGCTCTTTCTCAAATTAATGAACACAGTGTTACACAGTGCGTACGTAGTTAGAAAGCACCCTATATAAAACATGTACATACACAGAAAGTTTCTTACAGACAGAATTTGACAACATCCTGCGCGTAGCTAGAAGCGATGCAATAGCCAATCAGCAGTGTGCTCTTATGGAAAAACAGCATATTGATTGGCTTTTGCGTCTAGTCGCGCGTAATACGTTGTCGCGTTCTGTGAATAACTTTAACGCTCAATATATAGTTTGGTTTACAAGGTAGAATGACGCTTCTTTCTGTCGGATTCTTTCATTTCTGGTAAAAACACATCGAGTGAGCATAAGTACATTATTCCAGAAGGCGATAGAATAACACCAAAGAATTAACAAATTTTTCTACAATATAAAACGGCGAATATTTTCGGGTTACATTATAATATTCTTCAGTACTATTATTTACAGTAAGTGACATTTTGACATATGTACTGAAGTTAGAAAGTCGCGAACACATTAATTTTTTTACTTACTAGTTTTAGATATCTATTACTTTTTTAAAGCTTCAGTTTATATTAATAAAATCTTTTTTATATATACAGAATTGAATGGTGTTATCACTATGTTGCAATTGTGGGAATCTTCTGACAAAAGCGTCAAGAAGAATGTATTGAAGCCTGGAGTGTTTTCTAAAAAACCAACGGAATGTTCTACCTGTAATATTACCATTCAGAAAATAAATGTCACAGGAATATCAAAAAATGATCTGAAAGACAAATATTATACTGAAATTCTTGATAGTGAATGTGAAAAAGTGTTAATTATTGGTGAAGCAAGTGCAGAAATTGATAAGCAAATTGAACGAGCAATTCAAATGATGAATATCTTTGAGAAAAGTCGTATTACTATTATTATGAAACAGTCAGAAGACAGTAATAAATCTGTAACAGTGGAATTTGAGGTCACACTGACTCAATGTGAACGTCAAAAATCGATCTGGGAATGGAGCGCAGAAGAGAAATATAACTTAGCTTTGAAATACAAAGAACAGGGTGTCAAATTGTTCAAAGATTCTAGAATCGTCGATGCATTCCATAAATTTAGTAGAGGATGTAAAATTTTGATAACAATGGAACCAATACCAGACCCAGACCTAGACTTAAACAAGCAATTGGAGTCTGATATCAATGATTTACGCCTTGCATTATATAATAATATGGCTACTTGTCAACTAAGTCAAAAAAATTATGACCACACTGTTACTCTTTGTAGCAAAATTTTAGACAAAGATAAAAACAATGTTAAAGCTTTATATAGAAGAGGAGTGGCATATGGAAGTATGAAAGATAATGAAAAGGCTGTGGCAGATTTGAAAGTAGCACTTACATTAGAACCTAATAACCAGACAGTAAAAGAACACTTTATTATCTATAATGGTAAATTACAGGAATCAATTCAAAAAAGTAATGATATGGTAAGAAGAATGTTTAAAACTTAATTGTAGATTTAACATTATACTCATATGTACATTGTTATTAATTAATTTAAGAAATAAAACACTTCATAAATAGAAAAATATATTTTTATATTTCTATTTGCGATATATATAATTTACCTTCTGTTATAAATGGTCTTAATGTGTTATCTAAGTATTATATATATCTTAAAAAATTAGTAGCATTTTAATGAAGTTTTTTTGTTTTTGATTATCATAGCTGTATATAGATGTATGTACAAATATATTTATTCCATATTACTTTTATTATAATATTAGTATAAAAGAAGTGGTTAAAAGAATAAAACTGTGTATTTTTCTTATACTAAATATAAAAGTTGTAATTAAGATATCTTTTGTTAATATAGTTTCAATTACATATAAAACATTATTTAATAAAAAATGTCATGATTATATTTTTCTTTTACAATTTTACATCACAATTTGTGCAAAATATAGTATAAGTTTTATTCATATAAATATTGGCATCTGCAAATAATAATAATTGGATTGTGATTATATATTTTGTTAATATGTCAGAGTTTTTACTTATCTTATAAAATTTCGCAACAGTAAATTCGTTCTGATATTGACACTGTGATTTAATGATTGTTACATACATATATTATCTCAATTTAATTTAAAGTACGATACCGCGTGCTAAGTAGCTGTTTAATCAATTGCACACAATCATGCTGAACTTAAACAGATTTGAATTTTGTAATATATATTTGTGTGCTAAATTTATTTACTACATATATATATATTATAAGGTGTATATATATATATATACACACCTTATGAAAGTTTATTATAAATAAAATCTGAAGTTTTGCAAGATTAGTAGATAAATATAGCACGTAAGACGTAACTCACAGAAAATCATAATCCAGAAATAAAGTTAATGGCACTTTTTTATAATGTGCATTTCTGCTATACTTATGTACACCCACTCCATTCTAAATTGAATACAATAATAAAACATCAAATACGACTATATTAATAATACAAACTCTCCTTCCGCCTTTCTAATATTGTTATAATTCAGCAAATAAAAAATAAAAAATATTTTTTAAACTGTTTACATTTTGATATTTATCTTCGTGTATATGTAAATACGAAAATCCCAATAATCTAATACTTTTTAAAAATTACAAGATATATATGTATATCTTGTAAAGTAAAGCAATTATATTTTACTATAGAAAAAGAGAGAGAGATTTTGTGTATCTTCATAGATGAAATATTTTAATATATCAAACCCTTAAATTACAGAGAATGTTATTATATATGTAAAACCATCACCAAGTAAATTTCTCATAGTTGCAATATCAGAAAAAATGCAAAACAAATTTTTGTTATTTTAGTTTTCATTATTTATAAAAAATACGTGGTTTTTTATACTTGTTATATTCAAAACTATGTATTAATTATTACTTTCATAATCGAAAAATTTAATTTGTTACTGAATATCATAGTGTATATCTGAACTGTAGAATTTTCTCTGAATTACAAACACATAAACATATCACTTTATCAAATGTATAACATAACTCAAACATAAAGTATAGCAGTTAACTGGCAAGACTTGGTAGAAAGTTTCAATACATATATACGCATATATCAAATTGTATTGCCACAATTACTCATTGAACAAAATTTTTTATAATAAATTGTATACATCATTTTGTAGAGATAAATATACATATATAAATAAATAATATATATATGTATATATAACATCAAAAAATTGACAACTTTGAAACAGTATTGTTTAGATAAAAGATCTAGTAGTTCTATTCAATGAGCAATCTAGAAAACAGTCCAGCATCATCTACAATACAAATTTGAGCACTATTTAACAATATGTTGGCAATAAGATTTATCTTACACCTAAATAGGTTAATATAACGAATTTGGAGCATTGTATTTATATACTACAGAAAAAAATATGGCGCATAATTAAAATTTTGTTTACATACATTGTATGTCAGCAAATTCTACGTATCTTTATCACTTTTTCAAATACAGAATAACGTAATCGTACAGTATATACATTCTCTTTTATTAACCAATAGCTTGATACAATTAACTGACGTAGAGCATCTCTGGCACAAATGTAATCTGAAACTTGTTAGACTAAGCACATAATAAATAACAGATAAAATATCAAACAGGTTAATTTTAAAAAGCAAAAGTGCACGAAACAAAATCCTAGTTATGTATGAAAAAGAAAAGAAAACTTAGAAAATCAAAAAGACTGTATATGTGTTTAATGAAAAACAAGAAAGACAAATTCAATTTCTTTTTCAACATTTTACAAATGCATTTTCCTACGGTTTAATATATAAACTTGTGTAACTTTTTAAGGTATATTAACATCCCTGTAATAAAACTTTCAGATCAAACTACAATAATAAGTATATCTTCCACCAGTGTATATAAGAAATATTTTATTTTTAACAACATTATACCAAGGATATACTAGAAACTAGACAATACTAATAATCACACGATTTTCCACCAAACTAACGCTGTTTTACGAGTAGAATAATTCATGTGTATATACATTCACAGTCATTTTAGATTAGTATGTTTAAGTCGTAATCTGATTTAAGAAAAAAGTATTTATGGCGGTGTCAAAAGATTATTTGTATTGTAAAAATTTTTTTTAGTTGCCACTTATAGTAATATTAACATATAAGGATATAGCATTTCAATTGGTATGAATAATCGAGCCATTGTAGGAATGAATATTACATTGATTTAGGTTTGCCATTGGCAGTGACAGTGGCGTTCAATGTTGAATTTGTTACCGCTATTTCAGCAACCTGCGCCATTGCCATGACACCGCCAGGCACTGATTTCTCCACGAAGTGTTGATAGATTGGCTTCATGAACTGAACAAAAACAAAAACAATTTTTTGCATCATTATTTCATATGCAACAAATTATACTTTTGAACGTAAGATTATATATGTCTCAGTCTATAAAAAGTATCAAAATTATGAATTATTTATTAGTTTTACAAAATAATATATATTTATAAAATTTATAACACAGAAATGAAATAATAGTTACACAACTGCAATAAAGCTTTTTGATAAAACAGTTATAGTAGTTGTAATGTTTGAAGACAAGTATAGTCAATAGAACAGTTAAGAAAAGTATAATCAATAAAACACTTATTATCAAACATTTGAATATATGTAGCCAGCCAAATGCCATACCTTTTCGATATTTGCTCCTGTTAGCACTCAGCTTATCACAGGAATAAAAAAAAAGAGAAATAAGAGGGTGATATTAACGTGGATCATACTAAACACTGTTTTGATAAAAAGAATTAAGTGAAACACATAAACGTGTTAAAACATATCAAAAATATATTGAAGCGATACGAAAAATAATGAGGTTGATAAGTAAATTACAGAATTAAAATTTAAAAGGAATTAAAGCGTGAGATCATATATAGCCATGTTTACGAAGAACGAGGTAAGTAATATGACATATAGGTATTGCAAATATGATTACGATAACGGACAGGATCAGGTATCTTAATTTATATATTAATTTAAAACAAAGATGAGCGCATAGCCAGACCTGTTGCAATAAAAAAATGTTACATATTAATTGTAATAGATGAAAGACTCAATAATATGCAAGATATACACAGTGTGACAAGTGCTGTTTATGTATAGAAATTTTGTATATATGTAACTTAAGTGCAAATTTAAATATTTCTTTTATAAAAATATCTCATACTATCAATTCTTTAAGAAGTTTTATTGATAAATAATGAAAATTTATATTTTAAGTAAATGATAATTGTTTTTGAGAAAAAAATACATATTACACGTTTATATAACATTAATAAGTAAACAAATCTCTACCTTTTTCAAATATTGATTTTCACTAGTACACTGTGAACAATATAGTTTTTCATCAGGAAAGCATTGTTTATTCATACGAGATAAAAATTTGAATAGGAAATGCATAAGAAAGCTTTCAATTAACTTAAGTTCTATAATTTTTATACTTACATTCTCCCATATTTTATTGGCCATATCATCTATCTGTGTGCCAAATTCTCTGAATTCTCCGCTATACCTGATTAATATTCAAGTAAAATACAATAAGAAAATGAACAATAATACAAAGTTGTTTTACACATGTGATAATATAGTATACCTGATGTAAGCCCATAGTATAAGCGTGAGAAGGCCGAAGCCCATTAAGAAGTTGCATATATTCGCTATTGTGTACAGACCAACAAGACCAAATATTCCGGATAAAATATACATAGTTACAGCAAGTGCGAAGAACACTGCGGGTGTTCGCGCTGCTTTGAAAATATTTTTACTCTCATTGTGCGCCTTAAATTGCAAGAACGCTTCGTCCAAATCCTGTAAAAAGAATAAATTTTTTCAATAAAACAGGACAAAATAAGAAAAAAATTATAATGATTATATACTTTTACATATAAAAATATGTACCTTGATCAATTTTTCCATATATATTTTACTAAATTCTTCTCCACCCATCTTTCGTTTATTCTGAAATTGACGAAGAGCCGAGTCCACGCAGTGATTATGTTCCGAGTCTAAATGAGCGGTCGCCAAAAACGGTTTCCCCCCACCGCAAACGTTTTCCATCATTTGAAGATACAAATCCTTGGCTTCAGCTACAGCAGTTAAATTGTTAGCTTCCGCTGTAGCCTGTACATAAAAAAATATTGTAAATAAAAATAACAGCAAAAATTACAGAATTTTCTTTCTCCTCTCTTTTTTCCACTCTCTATCCTTTTTTTTTACTTACCACTAGCATGCTTTTCGGTTCGGGTAATTCATCTCCTTTGTAAAGATTAATATAACTTTTAAAATATTCCAATAGATCTTTTGCTTTCACAACCTGACCATTGATTTTCTTGGTCACTAGATTTTGGGGCGCCAGTATCATAGGCACGAGTACTTTCAACTGATTTTTGAACTCGGACTGTATTTCGGACAATCTACCGTCGAATTTAGGATTCGTTGCAATCTCGAGCCCGGGATGTGGCATGAGGAAACACGATATATCCGAAAAACAAGATTTGATGTGTTTTCGTAAACTCTGTAATTCCGAATGCTGCCTGTCGGAAATCTCCAACCTCTTCGCAAGCAATTTCTTTCCACCATCCGCGCCATATTCGGCCTCGTACGGATAGACCCAATCTCTGACTAAAAACTGCAGTCTTTGAAACGGCGTGCTCTCAGAACTTTCCAATGCCAGTCTACCATATTCAGTAAACAATTGCAGATGTTGAAGATCGTCTTCCTGAATATTTTGCGACAGATTGTATATTTGGACAGAAGACAGCATTGTACTTAACGCGAACACCGTCGCGCAATCCCGCACCGTTGACTGACTGTCAAAAGCGCCTTGAGTATCCATCAAAATGACAGCGACTTTTTCACCGTTTGCCAAGGTAGCGGGATAAACCTTCGACCACATTAGTATTCCCGTAGTGTCCCTTTCAGAACCGCCCCTCCAAGAAAAACCGCTCAGTGGTTCGTCTTCGGCGCCCAACCAAGAGTCAGTGTTATTTTGTAATGTGTACTATTGGTCAAGGTAACACATAATCGATGTATTCGTGATTATCCACAATTTCATTGGATGTCAGTCGATGATAAACGCGAACATGAAATAATATAAATTTAAATATTTTTGTAATCTCGTGTTATTTTTCTTTAATATCGACAAATAAAAATTACATAAAACGAAAACATTTTTTCGAATTTCCAGATATTGACCTAACCTACCTTGTTGTTCATGTAACGAAGAAAAAAATCAAGGAGGAAACTTTTGCCTTTCCTGAAGGCACCTGCAACAGAGACGACAACCACACTTCTATCTTTTATGTCGTCTTGTAAAAGAATTTCCGACAATGCATCTTCATCTAATTCGAAGGTATGATCCGGATGAGCAAGTACCACTTGCACAGGTCGCCCATCGTCTGTTGATGTGTTCTGCATTTGTGCGTTCGGTGCGATCCTTTCTATTCGATCGTTCTTTTCTAGATAATCTGCGACAGACAGCAATTTTCATTAAAAAAAAACTAATAATAAATATATGATAACATGAGATAATAAAAAGATAAAGAAAAAATTAATAATAAAAGGAAATATTATTTGATCGGCAATATTAAAATATATTTGAAAATTTATTCGATATAGATAGATTTTAGTCAAGCAAAATAAATGTTTTTGAATAATTTATTCTTAATTAAAAAGGTTTAAAAATTATGTTAATATAGTTTAGCACAACATTTTGGAAGAATTCTAAAACACGATATTAAACATAGTAAACGCAAATCAAAAGCTACTGTATTTTTACCATAATTCCATTTCTGTCTCGCATTCATATCCTTTTGCCCAAAAGAGCACGAGAGGAAGGATATGGCAAGGAAATTATACACGTAGACCTTGACACGACACATGTAACCGAGTTCTCAGTATAATTTATTGCATGTAGCGTAAAAACAAATAGTTCAAGTCTAATCCGTCGCTGGTTACGTGTTTAACGCGCTGATCCGTGACACATGACTCGGATCAGCTGTAAGAGCGATTAGGAATTCAAACTGTCAGCGCGACGAACAGTAAATTGACCAATCAGAAAAAGAAAGAGAGAGAGAAAGAGATTCAGAAACATCAAATATAAACCCGAAAAATTATGTCGTTAAATATTTCATCAAGTGTGTCGAAAAGAGAAAATGTACCAAGTTGATTAGCATTATCATCATAGTGTCGCATGTACTAAAATAAAAAAAAACATTTATAAATTTTCAAATTCTTCACATGATAGAAATATTACAAAAAATATGCAATATCAAGTTACTATCAAGATGGATATTATTTATTTTCCAAGTAGAGCGAACAAAGAGAAGAAACACAAGAAATTTTTCTTGAAATTACTACTCTGAGATATAATAAGCTAATTGACCGACTGGTATTTACATCACGAGAGCATCGGTAATAATTACACGGTAAGAAAACATATACCGGAAAATTAAAGCATGGAAGCTCCGTCATTCCATTTCTTGCTACGTAACAAAAATTATTTTGTTTTAAAGAACATTTAGAATTAAAAACTATTTTATCTTTTTTGTTTTCATCTGCTTGACAAAAATAATCGCTTCTCATAGTACACATTATATTACAAAATATATTATTAAAGAAAAAGCCTGTAATTTATATATAAGTATATTGTATATGTATATGTGTTAAAGCATATGTTTTACATATATACTTTTTGTCAATCGTTTAGCAAGGAAAATTTTTTGACTTTCAAAAGAGAGAAAAATAAAAAATATATGTAAAAATAAAAATATATATTTCGGAGCTTTTTCTATCCAATACCAACTTTCAGTGTCTCTCGCGTCACGTCTGAAATACATGCGGTCGAGATATTACGAGGATTCACGTGAATTCGAAAGAACAAGACGGCTTTTGCCGCAAACAATTCGGAAAAGTTGTAAACTCCAGACAAACCTCTCGCAAGAATTGCAAGAAGAACTCGGGCAATGCCCGAGAAAGCTACTAGCCGCGCGAACTCATCGCAAAATCTGATCTAGCGAGAATTCTCGACGAGTCAACGGGACGCTTTTGTTGGCTTTCATTCGTACACAAAGGAAAAGTATTTTACGAAAGAAAGAGGAGCGCTCTCGTGTGCGCAGAAGAAGTCGGTCGTCGCATCGAAATTCGCTCGGAATCGTTACATTTTTAGGAGGCTTTCAGCAGGCAGAGCTGAGACCGTAATCAGCGACGCAATTTGCGACTCGAAAAATAAAGAAACGCGCGGACGGATAAACGATTCAAAAAAGACTGATCGAACAAACACTAGGTTCGCTAAGAAAATTGACTCACCCATATTTTCAGCTATTTTGCGTTGTTGTCGTGGTATACGATTCACGTTCTCGTCGAGGGTCGTCATCGAGGCCTTCTCGGCTAAAATCAGATTTTTTTAAATAATACATTAGTGTCGTTCGATTATTATTATTATTATAATCTTATTGCATTTTTAAGTATGAATATATTGCTGTATATATTTTATTTATACAAAAATAAAAAAAAACATGAGTGAAAAATATTGGCAATTAAATACTGTTTTAAACAGTTTTCACTGAATTTTTTTATCGGCAAAAAACGATCGCGTTTCCGAAAACTTGTCTGACTAACTCGGCCTTTGCTGCGCGCGCGCTTCTACAATGACGCTGCGTTGCATAACATTTCCAAAATCGGAATTATGAACCGTCGTTGGCTGCTGCGTTCTTGTTCTAGGTGGTCTCGTTGGTTCCTTCATGGTGTCCGACAACAACCTTTCCGGTAACCTTGACCCTGAAGGATCGAACTTCTGTCTTGCTCTTACGGTTTTCCGGTCGGCCATATTTCCGACTCTCACATCCGTCAGATCGTACAGGTCCGGCAAGATCAAAACAAGCACGAAATATTTATCGGGAACACAACACAACTTAGTCGCGTAGATGCGCCGTGCATACGCGACACACGGGTACTAAGTCCGCGAAGAGAGCCGGACTAGAAATATCCCGGTTGGTAGTCGGCAACTCTTGGGTCGTGCAAACTTCGCGAGCTGGCAGCATCCCACGAGTGCCGACGCTACATCGTCAGAAACCGGCTGTCATGGCCGCGAAAACGTCGCTTTCGTAGTGGGGCATGCATATGAGCGCCGACAGGATTTTCCGCGTAAGATGATTATACATATATACAAATACAAACATATATATGTACATATATATGTAAATACATATACATATGTATATGTAACAATATATAGAAAAAACATACATATATATGTACAACTAAAAGAAATAATAAATATGTATCTAACTTTTGTGTAATGTAAATAGAAAATATAACATAAATAAAAAAGTTTAGAGTAACTTTTTACTATTTAATAGTTTTTTTAATGACTGAGCAATTTTAAATTGTTTAATTTTATGCGCGCTATTGTATTAATTCCTGCTAATTTTCACTAAGTCCGCATAATTATGACATATAACATGAAAAAGTAAAACTTTATGCGCATTCTTGATATTTATGTTACTTAATATTATTTCTGAATGTTATGCATTGTGAACCTTGAACGTTCTTGACCTTTGAATCGTTCTGTTTGATGTCGCTTTTTGTCCAGATTTATGACACGATGTGTGACGTACGTGACTAGTAGTCTACTTGCGCTAACAGAGAAGAAATATAACAAGCTTGTGAGTTTAATTTAGAAACATGTGACATACGTAATTTCATACATTTGCAGCGAACGCCAACTGAAAAGATGTACTTGCTGTACATCGCAAAAATATTGGCATCATATATTCTAATTATGTTTATCAAATAATATCTCACTTTACTTTTTTTACACATAATGTATAAAATACTCTTTATATATTTTTTAAATTTAAAACACAAAATAAAATTATTGTCGAAAAAGAATGCAAAATTCTTTGGACCAAAGAACATTCTAACACGGAGCAAGAAATGTTTTCTATTGTTTCTAAATAATGTATCATTATTTGATCGTTTTTCATTCATCTGACTGAATAATGCTAGTCTAATTAGCAAAGTGCACAAACGCGAGAATATGAATCCAATAAATGAATTCAACTCGGACGGAGATACGCAGCAGTTTACATATTAAGTGTGTAAGAACGCGTATTGATCACGTTGAGAACGAGCATTTATATTGGCTCAATTGTTAGATCTCTTGTCAATCAATTGACATCTTTATATATAAAAAATTTACTTTGCTACAGCTTGAAAGTATCTATCGCGAATGTAAAGACACAAATTAATACACTATTGCACTACATTCTCCAAAATATCTCCTCTTATTTTTCTTTTAATTATATAAAACAAAGTACTTTCATAAAAACATTTATTTAATCTACATTTTTGACTTGTATTCGTAGAAGTAATGTTTTCTGTTGTGTATCCATCGGTTTGAGGACATCCTATACGCTGCACTACTTTTTAATGTATGTAAGAGAAACTTCACAGAAGAAAATAGTCTTGAAGAAAGAAAATCATTACGATTGCCTATGTGCTCATTTCTATAAGTCAGAGTACACTCGCGGTAGATCCAAGCCGCAGCAATAAGCTGTGTGGGAACTTTTTTCATTGTCAACCTGACCGCGACTCTGTCTTATTATGTCCAGGAAAAGAATGTTTCATTGTGGTTATACTACAAAGAGAGAGAGAGAGAAAAAAGAGAGAGAAAGAAACATGTTTGTAAAGTGGAAGGCGAAGTACCGCAGGAATCAGCTTCAATTAACTCGGTGAATTGTCTCGGGCTCCGACGAGCAAGCCGGTGTGTAACGCCGGACTTCCGCCTAATTTATCGCGAGCGGCTCAGAAATTTATTGTGAGGCGTTGTTTCCGTCCGACGACGGACCGTCGTAAACTATCGGGAAAGCGGAGCCAGGGCTCGTTTCCATCGGACGTGCATACACGGCAAGGCAAAGCTATCGATGCTATTCAATAAAACACGCGCTACGTCGGGCTGAATAGGCGCGCCAATATGCGACTCTCATTTCCAATCCCCGAACAGCTATACACGTTTTGTGCTTACATACACACGTGTGTACGTTCATATATGCAGCCGGTACGCGAGCGTTGTCGCATCGCTTTGAGCGCTATTCCCATCTGACATTGTGTCGCGCGGATTTCATTTAATGCGGAATAATATTACGACTTCCTGCTGTGAGGCGTTACCGTGACGACATCACGAGAGAAAGAGAGACCGGATTTCACGTATCTCTGTATCGACGCGAAAAACGCGCGCGTTCGCTAATGCTTCTCGCAGAAACAGAGCGTATGTACGAGCGCGTATACATACGCGTGACTCGTCCTCGGATTAAAGCGATATGCCGATTTCAAAAGGCAACTTTGTTACAAACACGCGAGAATCCGCATTTTCCAACGCTCCTTTCCTTTCTCGCACGTTGTGTTTTTGTCTCTCTTTGATATTTTTAATTCTAGAAATCAAATCAGCCGACGTCAGCAAGATACGCTGAAACCTGATTATCTGTCTCGCGCTCTTTCCCGCGTATTTTATTTTTGTCTTACTCTCATCTGGCAATATATGTTATTGCTGCTAGCGATAAAGTTACAAGTGTATAAGATAATCCGTTTTTTTGTGTATATCTTAAAGAATACTATATAAAAAATTAAATTAAATTAAAAGTGAAATTATCCAAGTTTTACAGCAAATGATTTTCTAACACTGTTGAATAAATCAAATAATTGCGCAACCGCCATTCACACTAATTTTGTGACTTGCAGTCTCAACTCTGCTGAATGCGCGATTATTACACAAGCGTGGTCATCAATTAATATTAATTATATGTTTAATGCTCGTATCAACTAATATTAATTTTGCAAACATTAACAATTTTGCATGTTCAAAAAAAAACTCTACATGTGCATGTAAAAAAATTTATAGCAAAGCACAAGTTGTTCCTTTCTTTATTACTTTTAAGATTTTCAAACACATGTAGAATGCATCAGTAAAAGGAAATGAATGCACACATACGATAATGATAACGTGTTACAACAACATTCTCCTGCCAATCGTGTCGATTTCCTTGTTCCGTTTTCACTTTCTATTGCAATTATCATACTTTGTAATGCTTCAAACAATCCCACGCAATTGCGATCCGTATATTTGCACGTCATATATTGTTAGGTAATTAGAAAACTGACATTATACATGTGCATAAATTATCATAAAATTGTTAATTTTGCTGATTAATCGAACGCGCAAGAGCTCCAAGTTCCCTCGCTTTTGCAACGCTTTTAATCCTCGCCACGAGAAGGCGACACCTACGAAAGACTCCGTGCTTCGGACATTTACGTCATTCCTTTTTTTGACAGGATCTCTCGTTCATCCGTCGTTTCATCTATTACCGACGATCCTGGCGTAAGCGTGATATTTATAGACACTCACGTCGACGACTGTCCACTCGCGCGACGTCATCGCGTTTATCCTATTACGTATCCTATTACGCGAGAGAGCACGTTTTAACTCTTATCAGAATGATGTTGTTCGCGCTTGATATTCTCTCACCGAGCCACGCGACATGTCGAACCGACATGCGAGACAGCAACGTTCGGTTACACTCAATACGGAGACATGGTTGCACAATCTACGTATGTCGCGTGCTTTGTCCTTCGCATGGAATTCTCGCGCCGCATCTCTCTCTCTCTCTCTCTCTCTCACTCCCTCTTTCTCTGTCTCTCTTTCACCCAGTTTCTTTTCACATCTACATGTCACGTAACTGTATCAATCACACAGTTAGAAATAAACTCTACAAATACAGAAAGAGGTAACAGACGAAACACCACAATCAATGTAAAAACGATCGGCATGAGCAAAGTGTCAAACAGCATGGACACGGCACGACCGCTTCAGGTACAGCTGTTTTGCGCTCGAGACACGATAAATTGCGACCGTTCGCGATTTTAACGGCGAATGTTCTGCGTTAAGCAGTTTCGCGCTGTTTCCTCCTACCTGACTAAATGCCAAAAAATCAAGAGAAAAACTCACCCACATACGAGCTGCTGTAATCACCGTTCTGTTTACGTTGTCTAACGTCCGCCATATTGCGCTGCGTGCAACGTCACTTCCGCAGCTGCGCGCCACTTCGCGGCTTCGAAACGAACTTCGTCGCTGCTCGATCGCGCGTGCTCAATTATATGTTGTAGCATAATGCATACGCGCGACTGATGATTGCACCGGGATTTGATTTGCTTTCCGCTTGTTGCCACGAGAAGTACAACGTCAATGCAATATTAATGGTGTTTGCAATTTCTCGCGTAACTGGTAATTTCATATTTATTGTAAATCGGTTTTTGGAATATTTTTATCTGTGTGTGTGAGCGATTGTAGGCAACCAGTAAAAGGGGTTATGTAATTATAAGTACGATTAATAAAAAAATACACGTATTATATACATACACATATCTTATATTTAGTTTGTTTTTAAGTGATACATAATTAAAAAAGTGATTTTAAGATCATGTATATTTAAAGCGATGTATTTTTAGTAAATGTATTAAATATTTCCACTACAATTACACACACACACACACATTCATAAAATTAAGTATTTGATTCTACTATATCTCAATATATAGTCTTGTCAAGAGAAAACAAAAAATCTATATAAAGAATAACTGAAACGCGCATATGTTTACACTTACTCGCAAGCGAGTTCAAGCATTTTTGCAGTTATAATTTTAAAACATCTAAGCTTTGCAAATATTTCTTATTAAACAAATCACGAACACACAAGTCGCAAAGTAAATTTTCTAAATGTTTATATTTAATATGTTCGACAACATCTTCTATTTTTTAATATATAAAAAACATAATACACACATATTATGTACACGTACTTATTCATCAGATTCTCAAGAAGCGTGCTAGAGTATTTTATCGTACATTATTTTGCGTATAAAATCAGCGTGCAGTTTTGTCGAATACCGGTTATCATCTGTGGTGACACGTATATGTGACGTTCGCGAATTTCGAAGGCGCGCGCCGTCCGGATTCGCGGTTTCGGCAGCGCGCGGCACTACTTTCGCTGGCGGACGGCGATTCGACGCGGCGGTGGCGCGGTCGGTCGCGGATCCCCCATGGTGGAACGTGGATGCTGTGCGCGGTGGTTTCGTGTTCTGTACACGCGCGAATACGCGCGCGACAATACACAGACGGTAGGTGCCTGCTCGCTACGACAACAACAACGTGTGTGTAAATACGCCGCGTTCGGTTTTTCTTACGCGTTCTTGTTTTCGCGAGTGATAGTCGTTCGGTTTGGCGAGATGATGCGTTCCATTGACAGCAGCCCGTGTTGCGCCGTGCGCGTCGACGCGCGAGTCGTCGTTCTGCGATCGACCACGAGTAGTAAATAAATCCGGGAAGAAAGTGAATACGGAGAACAACGAGAGATAGAAACTTGACTCGCCGATTAAAAGGGATAACAGTGACACGAGTATTACGCACGAAACCGGTTTTCGCAATGCGGAAAGAGCGAAAATTTAAACAACGATCGAGATCGTAGGATGAACGAGAATTGTTGTTGTGATGGTGCCCGGATTGAATATTATAGTTAAACAAAGAATCTTTGAGCGCGACTTTTATTTGCACTGTAAACTCGTGACGTTGCGAATGTGTGTGCATATGTGCATGTGCAAACAACGTGCACCGCGCCGTATACTGGTAGCAGCAGCAACAGCGTGAACGCGTCTCTCTCCCGTCAGTTCCCGCATCAGCAATTTCGTTAATATTCCTCGCATGAAGAAGCGCTCATATGTTCGCCGCTTGGTGCTCGCACGTGATTCGGAGGCCGGTTCGCGCGTGACGCCAGCAAGAAACCTTGGCGCGGTGCGCTAGCCCTTTAAATCGCCCGGGGCACTTCTCTCACACTGAGCGCGCGTATAACGGTGCTCTCTCGGTATCCTTCTATCCGGCCATTTAAATCCCATGAGGTCGACCGGCCGACTAACCAAGCCCCGACCGACGTACCGATTCGACGTTGTTTAAAGGACCCGGTCATTTCGATCGTCACATTGGACTCGCAACTCTCGTTTGCTTTATCGTTTGCGCGTTCTCGCTCTCGCTCCGATGTCGCTATCGCCGTCGTCGCTTTACAAGCTTTTCTATACGACGCCGCGAGCAGTCACGCGTGCGAGATCGTAAACTTCCCGCGCGAAGATTCACGGCGCGACGCTTGACCGTGTTTTGGCAGCGATCACCGACAGTTAGATTCACCCTGCTTCTCCTCTCATCTTCGTTCTCCTTCTGTGTGTTAGCCACAACCTCAGGACCGAAGAATTATGTAACGCCCGCCGAGGAGTCGACCACTGAACCCGCCCGTCCGGCTCGGAATGCGAGATTTCTTTGCAGTTTTTGACGAGACGTGTTTGGCTTCGTGAGTATTTACCTTTGTTTTCTTCTCTTGGCTGATGCTAGCGTGAGCGCGATTCTGTTGCAACTCATTACCGCGTCGATTCGAGGACTGCATTTTATTTCAAATTTATTTTTAAATTCTGAAAGAACAAACACAATTTTGTATGTGATCAATAATATTTGCTTAATTGCGATAAAAAAGAGAAAATATCTTTTTGAGTTACAATAGAACAAATTAATTAATCAATTAATAAAAATAAAAGAGATAATTAAAATATCACGTATATATTATAAATTGTTAAAACTACTTTTGATGTATAAAATCTCTATGAAATGAAAAAAACAAATTAGTCTCTAATTAGTCTTAGTAATTACAGTACTTACTTAGTGTTTTACACTTTATTAAGAGTGCATCTTTTATAATGTTAGAAATATTACAAAAAGCAAAGAGTAAATTATTTAAAAGGTAAATGAATCAGAAGACAATGAATCGCTCTTTTAAAGCAAAACAAAGCCCGTCTGTATTTTATTTTGAAAAATAATCCTTTGATATTTTAAATATACAATCTCTTTTATTGAGATGCTAAGAGCAGTTTAAATACATGATGTTTTAACATATTTGACACATACTTGCCATATGCTGCATGAAAATTGATCAAATATTATGTGCAAATCAACACTTATAAAATTTATAGACCATCGCTCATTAGCAAGACATTAGAATTGTCAAGATTCAATCTTCGATGGCTGAACTTTTTCTCAGCCGGTTGTCATAAAATGACTTTTTAACGAGTTTGTCGACATGAGTGCAGCTTTTATCGTTGCTTTTATCTGGCGAGATTCCGATAAAACAAGTAAAATTTTAGCGGATGCGTCATCACGACTGTTGTAAAATACAACAAATGTCAGAGAAAGTATAGATATATTTACTTACTGCGACTATCGAATAATCGCTAAGTATGACGATAGATATCTTCTCTCTCATCGTAGCTTTTTGCCTCAACGAGAGTAAAAACCAAAAAAGTTAACGTTTCATGTGTACTTCGACCGTCACGTGTTGTTCGTGGAAAAATACAATACAAAAACCAAGATAAAGCAAAAGTCTGCAGTAGTTCAACTTTGATCAATTACGAGCGACTTCAATTATGTAATTTTTTCTTATTTGCGTTTTGTTCAAATGTATTTTCATGTTATAAAGTAGTTTTTATTTATTTATTATATTTATATAGGATATAAAGATATCTTTTCTCAAGTGCAATTATTTCACGTTGCATATGGTAATGGTATATATAAAATAAGATATAATTTACAATTGTCATAACATGATTTTTCTTTGATCATCGTGTTATTTTTATATTATGATCATTGATTTTGTTGGAAATCCAATATTTCCTTGATGCTCTAGTGTGTGTGTATTTTCACGAGTTAAACGATTTATGAGTTTAATCACAACCATTTATCGGAGTATCACTTTAAAAGTCATACTAATTACTTGTTTCAGTGGCCTTAGGTTATTTTCGTGGCAAACCGATTAAGACCTACTATGACCACATTCGTGGTAGTATATATGTATACGTGTTACTTTTTATCTTATCACACGAGTGTGCGCGAGCTGCAATTATTATTGAACGAAGTCATTTTAACGCTGTAAATACAGGCGGACAAAAACACATCCAGGTCGCGTCGCATGGCGTGGTCACTTGTAACGTCGCTTTTGTAATTACGATCACGTTAAAGTCCATGAGAGAGCTCGCGGGGATGCCAAATGTTGTGTCTAATAGATTTCTGTTGCCAAGGAGTGCAGCCAAGCTGTGGTATCAATTTATTAAACTGACTTCTCTCAGAGAAACATGGTCAGAGTCCGATTCTCGTATTTTTCCAAGCGATAGTTAGAGCTAATCTTACGACATAGAATTTTTCAATTACTTTCAATGCTCAAGCATCGATATTAATTGATAGAGATTTGATAAACGATCCGAATAAATTAATCGGATAAACTTGTGAATTTTCAATGACCATTGTCTGACTTGGCGATTGTAATGCGAATCGATTTCTAGCAGTCGCTTGTGAGTTATTATATTTTCTCTCCACTATTTATAGCTGGAGATATTTGTTTATATTTGTCCTATAAAATACGACTTGTGTGTATGTGTGTGTGATGGTGAAAGCTCTATCGGCAGTCGGCGCGCGATGCACAGACGTAATGAAAAGCCGTCTGCCATTAGTCCGCGTGTCGTGGCCGGAAATGGATGGCTGCTTTTTTGTTTTGTTTTCTTTTTGTTTGTTTTTTTCACGAAAATCGCGTGACGTTGCCGCGCCGCGGCCCGTCACGTGCACACGCGGCGTTTCTGATATCGCCAACCGACTGCATGTAAAATGCCGCCATTCTCGTTTTCGCAACGTGCATTTCGCGCAAGCGACTCCCGTAAAATCCGATTGAACGCGTGCCATGTGTAATGCATCATATTTCTGTTATATTTTTTGTCCAAACTTTGTTGTATGCATATTTAATTGTAGGTATCGATTTTCTTTGACTTCTTCTGGATAGATACACGCGCTAGATTTAGAAAAATATTTTTTTATTACAATAAATTTTTAAGATGTTAGAAAACAATTGTTCCTCTAAATGTAGCCATGAAATTATCGCTCTTGTCATTCCACTACGCGTGAAGTACATTTTGCACGAAGCGAGAAGCGTAATTTGAAGTTTCCCGGCTCTTCTCTCTTGCGCGTCCGATCTTAACCGAAAACGCCGAACTCGCACAACTCTCACGGACAGAAAATCGAGGTATCGACGCGCTCGAAGCCAGCGACGTGTAATTACTCGCGCGCTTAATTACTCCGCCAGGTTTTTCACGGCGATGTTGCGCGCGCGCGTTTGCTTTTTATTCGCGAAACTCGGAAAAAGTATTCTCCTCGCATACAAGCGCTTTCGTGCGCGCTTCGACCCTTTCACTTACGGACACATCAATCTCGCCGGTTGCTTTTCCGACGTGCGGCCACGATCCCTCATTTCCAACCGTCTTTTATTCCCTTTCTTCCATGGCCATTCTTGCTCGCGTTACGTAAGCCCGCATTATCATATCTCATGTATGTCGCGGTATATCTCGCGTTACCGCAGAATTCATTGACATTCGTAGATAAACATATCCATTCCTTTTAAATTAAAAAAAAAAAAAAAAAAAAAAAGAAAACATATCCAGCGTGCTCCTTTTATTACATAAAAAATTTTGTTTATCAAGTTATGGCTATTGCTATTTTTCTTGTTCCTTAACTACTATAATTAGATATGTTGCTTTTGATATTATTTAAAGAGTTTATAAGTTCCCATTATGTATATATGACATAGCAATTAATAAATATCTTTAAATTACTGAAAATTTGAAAAAAATAAATAAATAAATAAATTCCTCATACTTTTTTAAATCTAATATACGTGTCGGTATGTAATGCAAAAATGTATGTTCTAAACGTGACGTATTTTTATGCGTATCTGTCGTATTTTTATGCGTATCGATCGAACTGTTAACTCGTATAATTAATGGTGCACGTCCGTATCGCGGAATTTTCTGCTTTTCCTATGAGAGTTTAATTTTGTGGCGACTATTCACGTCGTTCTCTCCATTCGTGCATGATTAACTTTCATCATGTACATACACGTATCGAATTTTAGATTTTTTAGGATATCATAGTAGATTTACTCAACTTTTATGCTTTGAGAAGTTGTGAATTCGCACGCGGCTGCTAAAAAACATTTTCTGATATCTCGCAACCGTTTCGGAAACATTCATCCATTACATTTTTGCTAGAGTCGTATTCATAAATTTCTCTGCAGTTTTTTATAACAAACAAACGATAGTATGTAATATAATGTTTGAAGTAACGTATAAATTTTATACAACATTGTATGTGCGTTCTCCAGAAATTACATTAATATTGCATGTCATTCGAGATTTTATCGGACGCTATATTTACAACAGAGACCGCCACACGCGCCTGTTTCTTCCATGAAGTAATTGGATGTCTGTATCTCCGGAAAACTCCGCAGTCCATTCGTAAATCGATATATTTCATGCCTGTGACAGGTGCCGCCTCGTCTGCGTAAATTTGTCATGTCCGTCCAAAGCTCCAAAAATAAGCTCCCTTGCCACTGTCGGCCTCCGCTTAAATCGTAATCCTTCGGTTCGCTATCGCATTTCTTTAATCCGTGCATTCATATACCTACCGAGATCAAAGAAAGTACACTAATTAAAAAACATTTTATTCACATTTTCAACCGTGACTTTAATGTTGCTATATGGTTATCTCAATTACATTCAATATTCAGTATAGAAGTATATTAGCTTGGTTTTCATTTCAAGTATAATTTTGTCATGTCATTGTGTGATTTTTTACACAAGTACAATTTTCACGAAAACATACAATTACTGCAAAGACTATAATCTCTTCAAAAAGAGACACTTTCATGATGATGAAGCAGTTTCTCTGCGTGGTTGCTATTCGCTAATACTTGTCAATTATCGTACAGTTCATTTGAAGGAGAAATAATTTTTTCGCCCATTAACACACCGAGTAATAATTATTAATCGCAATTGTATTTTTATTTATAATTCCACACTTGATCGCAAGGACATTATATTGTTTGTTTTTTTTCGCATTAGTAATATACTCTTTTGTACTCATTTGACAACAGTGACATAATATCGTCAATAATTACGTTATTAGAGAACAACTTTCACGCTGTCATAGGTTAAACGATGTACAAGCTTCATCGATCCTTCTCCGATTGGCAAATTTCTGCAATTCTACGATTATTAGGTCACGTATTTGCAAAATTCGCCGACCACTAAGTCTCTCGTACCAAAGTTCGGTTCGCGCAGGCGATTCAAATAAAGGACTCCGACCGCAGAATGCTAACTATATTGCATGTGCAAACCCCGAGAGCGGCAGAACACGTTACAAGTATGATTGCGTCCGTTGGCGAGTTCGTATTTGCTGCGAACCTACGCAAATGCAAACGCT